GGTCACAGCGCTACAAGTACACAATTTCTATAAAGTTCTTTTTTACTCACATCATATGTTGTTTGCTTGTATTTCATTTTTATATTGTTTAAGTAAGGTAAAATAGTTTTGTGTGATATATACTTAAGGTATTAAAAAAATAAAATATTGATACAACAAAATTTTATTTCCAAGCCGTTAGAGGGTAAATCACACACACACAAATGTATGCAGGAGTACTTAAACAATTTAATATTTGAATTCATTTACTGAATCAACAGTTCAGTGCTATATATATTTGTTTTTTGAAGTTTAAATTGAAATATAATTTTTCATATCATAGTCTAGTTGGTTTCAAATTTATATTTTTGATTTTTAAAAATGATTAACATTTTCATCAATTTGAAATAATTTATTCTTAAGCCCTCTAATATTTCCAGTATTCTTGTATTATTAAATATTAATTATATTTGCGTCAGTTACTTGTATTTAGGTAACTTATTTGCAGTTGAACATTAATTTCTTTTTTTAGTAACTTTAGATTTATTGTTACATAAACATAAAATACATTTCAAAAGTGAGTTTGCAATGAATCATTCCATCTTCTTTTCAACTTTCTATTGGTATTATTGAATGTTGTGGTATTTTTAAATTCATTCATTCCTTAATGTATTTGTTCAGGTCCTATAATCCTTTATTTTTAAGTAAAGATTTTCATTTATATTTTGTCAAGTAAAACATAATATTCATTTATATTTTGTCAAATATATTTATTTGGATATTTTCATCAATATCTGGAAATTTCCTCTAATAAACAAAACAGCAAGGCTAATATATTTTACATTCTTTTTTCTTAAGTAGCAATGTATGTCCCCTACCTGCCCGCCCCAATAGTTTAAGTTCTAATAATCAAAGTATAATCAGTATCTTTTCAAATGAGGTAGTTACCGAGAGGATACTTACCTAGCTTGTAACTACCTGATTTCTTTCTGCTCTTGAAACTAACAGGGAATATTTTATTTAAGAATTTGATCATTATAATTAATTTCACTGCATTCAATTTCCTCCTTTTCCACGGGAAAACAGAGATTTTGGTTAAGCACAATGTGTATATTTGATGAATATGTAAATATATATTTTTATTGACTGTGGATAATCTCTTGTCACCTGTTTTATTTCTCAATTCATGTGGTACTGGTAGTACCATTAAGATGGTTCATATGCATCAAAAGTAGAACGCCTGGAAGATGATGGCGGTGTAATTACACAGTACATCATGAACAATCCAACTTTGGCACAGCTGAAGATTACTTCACAGTTTTGAATTAATCTGAATGACCTCAGCTTTATTGCTGTTGAGATTCTAGAAATGATAAAATGTCAAGTCATTGGAAATAAACCAACAGAACCTAAACAATCTGACATGACAAATGCATAGTTTCTCTGACTTGTTCCATATTCTGCAGACTTTATTACCAGCTGTAATATTTTATTAAGAAATACTTATCTTAATGAATGCAAGGGTCTTCCACCTTACTAAAATGTATGCCTGCTTTGTAAAGAGCAGAAAAATCCACTGCTCTGTATATTTGCATTTCATATGTACTAAAACTTAACGCACAATAAGTTTTGAATGATTGCTTTACTTATATTTTATCTTAATTTTGAGGGGGTGTATGTTAGTGGAATGCTAGTAAGTCAGTCGTTATTGGACAATGCTATTATTTCAATTTATCACAAGTTTTTCAATGCCATTAGATACAAATGGAATTTGTTGGCATTCTTTATGCTGACACCTTAAAACAAAATATCCTATTTAACTTACATTGATAGACTACTACAAAGAATAGCTGTCTTCATATTTCTTGTTACCGGCCTCATAAAATGTTATTTTATAAAACATAAAGTTCATATCTCAGCATATTGTCTTGAAAAGGGTGCTCTTTCATCTGCACTCTGAATTATCTGATGCCCTTTGGATTACCTTTCAGTGCTTTAATTTTTTCTTTTCCCCTGTTTTGCGGGATCTCAACTTTGGCTAAACTCTTCATCTTCACTAACCATAATCCCTTAGAGAGGACGCCAGGCTATATTATCTTCATCCATGTATAATATTCTTTACTGTTGCTTTTAACCATTCAAATGTAGGTGTAAAGCTAACTCATAAACCTAATATGTAACTTGAATTGGCTCTCATTGAATAGATTGGATAGAATAAGCAGAAATGTCCCCGGCCCTTTAAGTTATATGCCCATGCATTCCTAAAAATCTCATGCTATTCTCTCTTTATCACTCTCACTGATTCATGTTTACCACTCCCCACTGCTGGCCACATTTGAAGTTTGAAATCCACTATACTTGACAATTCCCTATCTCTCTGAACACTAGGTCAGCTATTTCCTTGATAATGTTTAGCCTTAAGTGTCCTACTAAATGCCCTGATCAAGAAGGATTTCTAGTATACTATTCAAGATAGACCTCCATTTCTCTCTTTTATTAGAAAACAATTTAGAGTTTTCCTAAAACTCATTGATGAGCCATGAGTTTGGACTATGACCAATCATACCGTTAATTGAAAGCTTTTGATGTTCCTTCAGGTTCTTCATCACAATCACATAATAAGAGGCAAAAGATACAAACAGTTTCTTATAAATCGTATTTCCATTTAACAGGCACTGAAGAAGAAAAAAAGGGAAAATGAAAAATTACATGTTCTATGCCTTGTACTTTTTCTTTGAAATGTGTCCTTAAGTTTATTACAACTGTAATAACTTTTTCACATGTTTTATTGCCTCATTACACAGAAATTCAGGGATCCTCATATTTTCTAATATCTCAGGAGTGCCTCACTAACATCAGGATTTAATTTATCTATTAAGAAATATACTCTTAACGAAAGTAGTTGCAAAAGCCATGTTAGATTCTGCTTATGTAATTAAGGCTGTTTGAAATCGGAAAGATTTCTCTTGAATGTATGACTTTATCTTCCTGGTAGAAAATAGGAATGTAATGTAATCCATTCTTTTTTTTTTTCTTTCTTTTTTTTTTTTTTTGATTTGATTGCCTCAAGTTCAATCACTGGTTTAAGTTCAGTGAACATTAAGCGTCCCTAAATGACAGCTACTATGTTAAGTGCTTAGGAAATAAAAATAAAACAATAATCCTAGACTATGAGAAGTTACTACTTTGCTACTTTGATCAATTAATATGACTTTCCTTAACTGAGCTGTTTTCGTAATACATATCTATGTAACACTTTAAGATTGTGACTTGGAGGGCGTTTTTTGTTGTTGTTGTTGGTTGTTTGTGTTTTGCTGTTAAGCCTATAATTTTCTTTTTGTTTATTTAAACTTTTATATGCATTTTTTTAGAAAGACATCTTATATCCACTTTGAAGGCAGATATACTATTAATTAATTAAGCTAGTTATTTAAATATAATTCTTATGGACCACTGTAAAGTATCCTTTTATCTTGTATATAAAATAAACCAGCTTTAGTTGAGTATTTAGCTATCTTGAGACCAAGTCACATTATGTTCCATTAAGATAATATGTTGGCTATAAGTACGGCTGATCTGAACATACAAGAAAAATAGTAGATATTATTTTCTGAAGAAAGGAGGGAAGATAAGAGATCTAACTGCTGCCCACGCTAATGAAACTACCAAGTTTTGAAAGTGATTGTGAAAAAACTGTAGGACCTCAAAAAAAAAAAAAAAAATGGGAATAAAAAAGAAAGTGCCTGGCAGAATCTCCACAAGATGTGATTTTTTTCTCACATCTTCCTGAAGAATATAACTGTAAAACTGTAACGTGTTTTTTTAGTGACCTTCACTATGCAACAGACATTTTTAGTATCTTCTTAATTTATTTTCCATAAATGTTACTAGAATTCTAAAACATTAATCACCATGATTCATTTACTCATGGGAAACTGCCATTCTAAATCCACTAAGAGAAATTGGAAGTGGAATTCCAATATCAGAATGGAAAGTTTGGATTTTTGTGTTTAGCTCTGTCTCTTAATTTTTATTTTTTCTCATTTTCTTTCCTCATTTTAATTTGAACAGACTTGATAACCCATTAATATTTGCTTTAATGAAATGTCAGTAGAAGGGCATGTACTATATCTTTCTTGTGTGTCAGACTGTTAAAAATTCCACAAAACTTAAAAATAATGCCTACATTTTTATTTTTTTTTTGTAGAGTATTACAATTTTCCATGATTCTGAAATGTTTCATCCAAGTTTTGCTGATTCAGTATAAATTTCGTAGTAATGTAAATGCTCCACCTGGTGGTAAAATTATTTTTTTTTTTTTTTTTTTTTTTTTTTTTTTTTTTTTTTTTTTACTTTTTTAATGCTATTAAAAAGCTTTGGGAGCTAGAACTTTATGTCTGAATTTAAAATATCAGTAAAAGTATCTAGAAGGATGACAAGCTAAAATTTACTAAATATAAGCTGAATCCTAGTCTATAATAGACTATATTTCAATCTATCATGGATTAGAATTTTGGTTAACTATACAGATTACCATTTTACAAGTTATTTTTAGTTTAATGAAATACACTTATTGAAATCATTAGTTTAGGAAATATAACCTCAATTTTCTATATCTATCTATTTATTTATTATCTATTTATCTAAAACTTTTTATCTACATATTGCAATCTGTAGTATTAGTACCAATTAATTTCATGAATAGTCCCACCCTCCCATTTGATAGGTGGTACATTTTTATGCCTTCAGTGTGTAAAACAAGTACTGCTAAGAATTTCAATTTAGCATTCTCTACTATTTATAACACCCACTTAAAATTCTAGAGCAGGACATATTGAAGAGAAAAGTGAAGTTATTACTTCTAATCATAATCCTTAACTTGACGGCAAATTGCCTTTTCATTTTGCACTATAATGTTCTAAATGTGATTTACTTTCTGTAGACTCTATTTTTCAAGCCTGTAATCTCACTAAATTTCTTACTAACTCCATTGTCAATTAGAATTTTATATGTCTTTTCAGGCATCTTCCATCTGAAAGTTCCTGAGTCTTCTCCTATTGGCTCAGCTATTGGAAGAATAAGAGCTGTGGATCCTGATTTTGGACAAAATGCAGAAATTGAATACAATATTGTTCCAGGAGACGGGGGAAACTTGTTTGACATTGTTACCGATGAGGAAACACAAGAAGGAGTCATCAAATTGAAAAAGGTATAGAGACAAATGTTTGGACAGTTGACTACTAAATAATAATTAAAGAAGATAAAAGATAAATATTGAAAATGACAAGTAATTTTAATTTTCCTTCAATTAGCTATAAAGTTGACCCTTGAACAGTGTGGGAGTTAGTGGTACTGACACTTCATGCAGTCCAAGATTTGCATGTATATTGTGAATTCTCCAAAATTTCAGTACTAATAGCTTACTCTTGACCAGAAGCTTTACCAATCACATGAACATTTGACTGACATGCATTTTGTATGTTATACATACTATATACTCTATTCTTACAATAAAGTAAGATAGAGAGGAGAAAAAGTGATAAGAAAATCAGAAGGAAGAGGAAATATATTTACTATTTGTTAAGTGGAAGTGGAATTCTCATAAAAGTCTTCATCCTCATCATCTTCGTGTTGAGTAGGCTGAGAAGAAGGAGGAAGAGGAGGGGTTGCTATTGCTGTCTCCGGGGTGGGAGAGGCAGAGGAAAATCCCCATGTAAGTGTCCCTGCATAGTTCAAACCTGTGCTGTTCAAGAGTCAGCTGTATTTTAAACTTAAAAACAAGACCTACTGATGCTGAAGTATTTACTCCTGCAGGCACTGATTTCTGTGATTCAATTTATGTTGAACAGTTAGGCCTGATAATTTGATTACATCATTTAAAAAGATTTTTACCAGAGTTCAATAGTAACCTAATATTTTATTGCTATAAATGTAGACAAAATATTAATTTAAAAACAAAATCCAGAAGTAACTCTGACCCCACCAGTCTTGATATTGACCCTTTCTATGGCTTTTCTGAGGATATAAATATCTAATTCACTACAATGTTTGTTGATACCACAGTGGAGGCATACTGATGTATGTAAGCTCTAATCATCTGAGAAGTAGAAGAAATGTGAAAGGCCAATAATGGACTTGAGAGAGCTATAAGGAGGAACGAGAAAAAGAATTACCGAGAGAGAAAGAGAGAGAGAGAGAGAGAGAGAGAGAGAGAGAGAGGACTGCAGGGGAGCAGAGCAAAGGTAGTTGAAATATCAGGAAGAAATCATTATCTACAGTGTACATAGTTTTCTCTTTTGTTGAGTGGTGACATGAAAGAGTCTGTAAACGTGAGAAAGATAAATTATAACGGCATTTAAATGTGCAGATTTTTTTCCCTCATAATGAGGCAAATTATAGGACTTTTCAATAACAAAATGCAGGCAGAAAAGTGAAGCTCATTTAATTTTGCCATTTCTTCCCCTTCTACAAAATACACTCTATTTACCCCAAACTGCGGTATACAATCTGTATTTACTCATTGTAATTATTTTAACCCAGAATAAATATTTTGCATTTAGTTCTGTTAATCAGTCTGCCCCTCCCATATTTACTCAGGAACTCAGAATTTTAACAAGGAAGCAGTATCTATAGTCATGAAAATACTCTTAAATAGAAACACACTTTTCAAATAGATTATCAGATTTTTATTTCTACTATTGTGCATAAATTATGCTTAGGCTACAAATTAATGTAACCCACATGATCCCTTTCTATTAAATTAAGATTTATGCCAAATTTGCTCTTAGAAAAATATGTTAAATTCTTATCAACATTATTCCTTTATTGTTTGTTATTTAGTTTGTTTTTCTCTTTCTCTTTTAGTGCCAAATCAATGTAAAGTTTTATCATTTGATTTTTTCCTTAAAAAGGTCTCCAACAAAGGAATCATATTTAAATGGTTCACAAACAAACATCTATTCAAATGGAACAAATAAAAATTTCATTAATAATATAAAAAATACTTTAACAAGTCATAATATTTAAATATAAAATTAAGTATACTTCCGAAGTAAAATTAAGGTACAAAAGATTCAATTCTAGATACACGTTATGTATATCTGTTTATATATTTATTTATATTTAATTATTATAACTATATTTTATAACCACACACATAGTTTTATGTTCATGTTTTCATTCTTATTTACATATATTTACTATCTATACCAATAAGTAACCAATGTCTAGGTGTTAATCTAGAAAAATGCATGTCATTCTTATTTATTTTTAACACAATCGAAAACGGTATGGTTTGATAATACTTCTTTATGGTATTATGTCAAAACATGTTAATCTTTGAAAGTAATCGTTGAGTTATAGAAGTTCAACTATCATTAAAGCAATAAGAACACATCTGCCTTTTTTCATGAGGAAAGATCTACAGAGAATGAAAGAGTCATGTTATTTAGGTTTTGTATTTATTGTATTTAATTTATTTAGAATTTTTAGACTTAACTGGGTTAAAATTGAGATATGCAAAATTATAAAATGCTTTTATTAAAATATATTTAGATGGCGTAGATAATCTTGAAAATATATCTGCAATTAAAAAAAAAAAAACTTTTGTTTTTCTGTTGCCCAGGCTGGACTGCAATGGCATGATATCAGCTCACTGCAACCTCTGCCTCCCGTGTTCTAGCCATTCTCCTGTCTCAGCCTCCTGAACAGCTGGGACTACAGGCACCCGCCACCATGCCTGGCTAATTTTTGTATTTTTAGTAGAGGCAGGGCTTTACCATATTGGTCAGGCTGGTCTCGAACTCCTGACCTCAGGTGATCCACCCACCTCGGCCTCCTGAAGTGCTGAGATTACAGGCGTGAGCCACTGCACCCAGACAAACACTACTCTTTCCTTCTGTGGTGGATGAATCATTGTTGTCCATTTTCCTGGCCTGAAATTCATTATCTAAATAAAGCTCAATGTCCATAACGTTCACTACTTCATTCAACAGATACTTTTGAAGCAGCCACTATGCTTCTGCCTCCACTATGGAGATAACGCTACAGACACTCCCTGCACTCAAAGCTTCCATTCAGTTGAGGATGTCAGAAGATAAACAAATTAGAAATCCCTTTCAGCAATGGTGAATTCAAGCTAGAAAGACTTAAAGCAGGGTGAAGGGGTAAAAGCCCTGTGGAGGGTAGAGGGTATCGTATAGTGAGTGGAAAAAAAAAATAGGCTTCTCTATTAGGGGGAAATATGATAAAAAACCTGACCATGTGGTATTTGGCTGATGTGTGTCCCTAAAAGTTTCAGCACCAATTGCAAAATCTCTGAATTGGGAATGTACTAGGCAAGAAGGCTGGCAGGGCTGGAATGCAGTGAAGGAAGAGGGCCTTGCCAGAGATGAGGTCAAACGTGCAGAGGAAGGGGTGGCCAGGGAGAGCCTTGCAGACTGGCAAAGATGTTGAATTATTAACAGATCATGATATAGACCCCATATGAGTGTAGCTAGATCACCTTTGCTCTTGCTCACCCAGGTGACTTTGGCTGTCTGAAGAGAATAATGACTAGGAAATAATAAGGACAATAGCTTAGTTAAGAGACCTTAGAAGTAAGCCAGGAAGCAGAATGTGGAATGTGATGGTCTAGCCACAGAGATTGTGAGAGATGGTGAGATTCTAAATAAATTGTAAAGGAACAGCCAAGACATATTTCTACAAATATTATCATCATCTGGTAAATTACACCAAGCATTTGAGGACTTCAGAGACTAATAAAGCACATGGATTTTCTTTCAGTGTTGTAATTTGCTTTCATCTCTAAATATGGATCCACTGGAAGCAATCCCCTATACTAACCTAGGGTTCTGCTAGAAAGAAAATTGTAGCCTGCACGCTACATCTATTAAATCTTTAAAAAATAATTCAGGAGGACATTTTTGTAATGAAACTTAAAAACCATCCACCTATCTATTGTATATAGCGTGTTGTGTATTGTGTTTGTACACATATATGCACATAGATACATTACTGAATTAAATATGACAGTATGATTTCATAAAAATGAGAAAATATCCCATTGAATGAAGCCCATAAAAATTCAAAATCAATTGAAACAACTACAATTCTTTAAATACAGAGTCTATTTTTGGAGTAAAGACTGTAAAATAGTACTATAATCAAGCATATATTCAGCAAGTTCTCAGAAAACTTTATCTTGCAATTATCATTAGGAGTTCTTAAAGAATTAGATGTATGTCGAAAACTGTGTCTATAAACATCACCAGTAGTGTTGCAGGTCTAGAAGGATATTAAATTATTTTTTAAGGTTTCCCCTTCAATATTGCAATGCAAGAATTCTGATATAAAATCAGATTCATACAGGAATTACATTTTAAGTATACTAAACACATTTAGAAAGTCCCAAATATATATTCCACATTTGAATATGTAGTCCTTTTTAAAACACCAGTTATTTTAATTTTTTTAGCTCACAGATTTTGAGCTGCAGTAGAGGAATGAGGCATGATATGCTTTGTTTTCAGAATTTTTCTTTTTTTAATGCACTTTAGAATACATTAAAATGCTAATGTTCTGAAGCACATATTGTTATTATTGTATTATTTTCGAAATCTTTTATTTGCTTCCCTGTTATTATTTTCTCCTCTGTCTTTTTCCTCTAAAGAAGGAGGGCTTGAGAAAATAATGATGGTCAGGTTTCTAGGAACTGAGAAGACTGCAGAAAGGCATTTTTATTTATTTTATTAAACTTAACTTTGATTCACTTTATGAGACTATGACAGAACGCCATTTCACTGCAACACTTTGAATTCAGAGAAACATTATGAAGCTTTATAAACTGCTCCAAGGCATAAGATATTGGTAAAACAAAACAAAACAAAATAAAAACTGCTTTTATTCTACCCTCACATCCTGCGACTCTGAGCGTACTATTAAAAAGAAAACAGCTGGGCATGGTGACTCACGCCTGTAATCCTAGCACTTTAGGAGGCTGAGGCGGGTGGGTCACGAGGTCAGGAGTTCAAGACAAGCCTGACCAATATGGCGAAACTCTGTCTCTCCTAAAAATACAAATATTAGCCGGGCGTGGTGGTGCGTGCCTGTAATCCCAGCTACTTGGGAAGCTGAGGCAGAATTGCTTGAACCCTGAAGATGGAGGTTGCAGTGAGCTGAGATCGTGACACTGCACTATCCAGCCTGGGT